GATTGCAATGAAATTTGGTAAAGATATCCATGGTGCCCTGTAGATAAAACCCAAAGACTTAAGGCTTTTTGTTTTAAGCCTATAAGAGGTTGACATTTGTAGTTTTATGTAGAATGTCTTAACAATTACTACCATGAAATTTGGTTCAAATATTCATATTTCCTTCAGTATGAATTTTGAAGACTTTGGTGATCTTTAGTGAACTATCCATCTAGCACCATCGTCAGGTTAAAATTTCCATTTGTCCAATACTTTGGTTTATGACCTAAATTCCTCCAAAACTGGATGACGTTCAACTTCAGGCATGCCTTTGGCTGAAGTGCTGACCATTGCTAGCGTCGGTATTTGTGGGATGATAAACACTGACACCTGGCTCGGAAACATTAGCCATAGTCTTAATAATGTTAATTTGTTGTGGGGCATTGTTAGAATGCTGCATGCTTAGCATTAGCCACACCAAAAAAAAAAAAAAAAAAAAAAAAAAAAAAAAAAAAAAAAAAAAAAAAAAAAAAAAAAAAAAAAAAAAAAACGCACTCACTGGCTGTGCATAAGTACTGCCTCACAGAACGACTGTAGACTCTAAAGTCTTGTTTAGATATGAAGCTTTGCTGATTTCTGAATCAATTGTATCAACGAGTATTCACTAACAAAACATAAGCATTTATGTAGCGCTATTAGGTTACAATCCTCAACCAGATTCATGTCAGTATTCATATTTATTAAACATGCAAACGAAGATGCAGCACTAAAGGAATGATTTAGGACAATGAACAACCTCCTTGGCCAAAAGACATGAAGACAGGAGTGTGTTCTCAACCTTTGTCGCATGTCGCTTCCTTTTCTGTCCCATACTTCCTCTGACTTTCCACTGTGTACTTTCTCACAAAGAAGAACTGCCATTTAAGTAACCTTAAGGGGAACATGCCTCTAACAGATGGATCGACACATGGAATGATAGGAAATGATTTGACAGGGGACAAGAAAATACCAAGTCAGCATGGCCGCAGGGT